TTCTATAATCTCTTGGATGAGAAAACAGGACAGAATTACCATGGAAGTTCAGGCCGTTGGTGAGACAGTTACAATCCTTGGGTTCCTTATTGAATAGCTTATTCAATTGAGAAGGCAGAGATTTCATTGACCACTTCATGTTTTCATAGCTAGAATGAAGGCAATTTGTTCTATAAATTTCTTGGATGAGAACACAGGACAGGATATGATGGAAATTCGGGCCATTAGTTTCCTAGTTGAATATGGTGTCTATATTCTATAAAGACAGATGTGAACTATTATGTTAGGTTTATCCTTTTCTTTTTGAGAAAGTTATTTAAAGGGGTTATATATAACTGGAAACCCCAAAAAAGTTATACAGTGAAGGACTAAAATAATAACAAGATGGGCTCTCCAAACAGAAACTAGAAAACGAGTATATTTCTGGATATGCTTGTCCATCAGACCATCCAAAGACAAAAAAAATATATATATATATATATATATTATCTTGGGTTTATAAGCAGAGTCATTGTAAACAAACATTTTTGAGTTGAATTTAATGAAATAAAAAAAACATATTAGTTTTGTTTTATATTTCTTTTATAATTCAAATTCTCAACTCTCCTTCCTTCACCACCATGTTCCCTGCAATAGAACTTTCTCCTTCCTGTCCTACATTAGACAGCAAATCACCTTTTTATTTGTTATGTGTCTCAATATGAAAACATTTATATTATTTTTCTGGTTATTGGTTCTTTATCCACCAGGATATTCAAGATATCTTTAGGAAATGGCATTCCATCCCATGGGCACTTAGTGCCAGGGGTAAGATAATGTGGAGATGCCTTCTGAATCCAATATTTTGCTGCACTTAGGAAAGAAGTTATGGACAAACTTTTCAAAATAAGGAATGGCCCTGTTAAGTCATGGATGAGCAATGTACTAGTTAATAGTGATTCAGTGGTTCTAGATATTGGAGATTTTCAAAGGTGTCATGAGAGGCTTGATTATCAAAGAATATATTTCTATTATTGGATCTTCTATTTTATTGTAGACAATGACTGTTTGTGCCTCTCCTAGTGTGAACTCCAAGTTAAACTATGATGAATGTTAGGGGAGATCAAATCAACGTAGGATGGATGGGGACAGGAATATTATTAGTGGCCCTTAGAGGCTCTTCCATTGTTCCACCATATTAGAAAGGCAAGATACCAATTGATTTTCTCATTCCATTGGATTCTTAAACTAGCCAACTTATTGTCCAGTAGCCTTATGAGAGGACTCATGGAGCAGGATCTCAACTCGATATTCCTTTGCCATCTTGAGGATATTTTTTGGGTACATTTTTGTTGATGGGACTGAAATCTGGTATTGGGTATTCAGAGTGAACCTTTCATTCCATTGGATTCTTATATCAGCCAGCTGGTAGCCAATAGCTTTATGAGAGGTCTCATAGAGTGTAATTGTACTTTGATATTCCATTGCCATCTTGAGGATGCAAATTTTTGTATATATTTTTGGAGGGAATCATGGGACTCAAATCTGGATGTTGGGCGTCCTCAAATTAACATTTCTGTGTTTAGTCTTGGGGCTTTGCATTATGTATCTTTTTTACACTTGCACTTTGATGCAATACCTTTTACATTGTTGATAAAACGGAAGAAGATATTTAAGAAGTATTGGCCATGCTTTTTTATGTAGGGAAGATAGAAATAACTAAATTGTTACAAAAGTAATTAAGACAGAAAGTGCCCTGGTTAGTATTTGCTATATTGTTTATCTACACCAAAGAATCATGAATTTCAATTTCAAAAAAGTTAAAAAGTATTGGAATATTGCAGTCTTTAACCTTTCAAACCCTATTAGAGACGCTCTTGATGTAAAACAAAACCTTGAAAGGGGTTGAGACTGTTAAACACGATAAGTGTTACCATTAATTTAAACTAGTTAACAAATATGAAAAAGTAAAAGGGCAAATTTCTTAAACTACCCTTATGGTTTAGCTAATTAACTAACTCTATCCTTACTGTTTACATATTGTCTTAAAGTACCCCTACTGTTTCTAACAATTGACATTGTCATTAAGTGCTAATGAAAAAAAATGAAATGTTGAATTTGCCCTCCACTATTCATCAAAATTTCAAAATAAAACTTAACTGATGAAAATTTTGAAGAACTGTAATCTCTTTTCCCTTTTGTCATCTATGTGGCATTTCTCAGGGAAAGCCCATCAACAAGGAGCAAGAGGCCGCCCTCCACTCCAAGCCTGCCGTTGCCGCTCTCGTTCAAACCTCAGTAGCAACCTTCTCAAGCTGCATTTGTAAAATAGATGATAACCGGTTAACATGGGAGACTCTCAGGAAACTATAACTAACAAAGGAATTAACGGAAACAAAACCCACAAGCCACAAGCCAAAATCACCACTTAATAATGAATTAATGAAAACAAACCCAAAAACAATTAATTTCCCCACTTTTTCACCAGTATTACTGAGAAGATGTAGACCAATCACACCACAACCATTGGACCACTGCCCATTTCTCCTTAGGTTATTCTCATCATTGTCATTTCAGTTCTACTCTGTAGTCAGATCCCAATGATTTTCTCTTTCCCACCATTACACTTCATCAGTCCTTCCATTTGTCCAAGCCTGAAAATAACTTAATTCTCAAACTATGTTAACAATGACTTAACGTAAAAGAATAAACTGATCTGCTAAAAAAACGGAAGCAGACACATTTAGAGAGATAAAGAGAGAAGAATCTCTCTGTGAGAGGTTTCTGTAACAACAAAACCCATGAGGCTTTTGGGGTTTGGAATGGAAGGAGCTGTACAGATTGGCAATCAGGGTGCTTTTACTCTGGGAAATTTCTTAAAGTAAACGGCAATCGCTGTACAGATTGACAACTGACCATATCGTAACAGATCATGCATTCGACAGGCCCCTTGGTGAGCTTGTCTTGAATTTACTGTACAAGCTGTGGCACATTCAATTCCTTGGGTGCATGATTCTTCACTTTCCTCCGCAGATGAGAAGGCTGGGCCACATAGCTTCTCCAAACAAAATTGCCTCCAAGCCAACTCTCTGCCGGTATGAATTGAATCAACTGGAATATGAATAAAATCAAATCCAATCCAAACACAAATGTCCAAATAGCCCTAATCTTGATCCCTTCTCGACTGTTCAATATAAACCAATAAAACAAAGAAACTATTCGGCAGTTAGATTCAGTTTCGAAACGAAGGAATCCAAAACGAATTGAAGTAAAATTATAGCATAAAAGAATTGATGAATTACAGTACCTGAATCTCAGGAAAAAAATGAATATCCAACCATTTTTCCTCCAGTCCCCTTCCACAATGTAACGAGTTCTGGGCCTTCTGGTGAAAATGATGTCGATGTATTCATAGTCTCTTGGCTGTTGATTTTTCTCCCACCGGGATTTGCAGAGACCTGATGTTATAAAAGGTTATTTTAGGAATTTTAAAAAACATATCAGTTACATGTGAACGGAGTATGACGGAAAGTTAGCGGTAGGGGAGGTTTTAGACTATTGTCAGAAACAGTAGGGGTACTTTAAGACAATATGTAAACAGTAAGGGTGAGTTAGTCAATTAGCTCTATAAGGGTGGTTTAAGAAATTTGCCCAAAGTAAAAATTTGGTCTTTTAACTAAGCATTGTTATAGCAATCCTATTCCATTTAAGATATGGTTGTGATGCCCTTAAGATCAGGCATCTCCAGGTGAGGCATTTCCTTTTACGTTTAGGCATGATCTGTAGATATTTCCCTTGAGCCTTGTCTGAAAGAAAACATCAAGGCATAAATCTCAAATACCTTCTAAAAAACTGACATGGATTTATAAGACATCCTTGGAGTGTGATAAATTGGGTCTGAGGATACCAGGTTTCTTTTTGAATGAGGAACCTCCTATCCTTACTGTGTTTTAAAAAGAATATCATGTTAATAACCTAAAACATCCAACCCACTTTTGCAAACTTGGAAACTCAAGTTGTTTCAGTTTCCTCACTCTTTCTTTTGAAATCAGTTTCTACAACAAAGAGGCAAAGATTCCAAGGCATCTAAAAAAGGTGAAAGGGTTTACTAGTACCATTAAGATGTGTACTAAGAAACAAGTCAAAAGAGAATGGTTCCATTTTCTTTGTACAAAACTAAAATATTCTTTTTTGAGAATCATCTAGAAAGTTGCAATATGGTAATAAATTTTGTGTAGATCAACCCTGAGAACTAAACCTTGTTGTTCCATGTATATCCACTTGTCAGTAGTTAGCAAACCTCTTCTAGAATATTCCCATCTTTCACTAGCATAGAATGATGGGGTAACAGGGTTTACGGTGGGGATGCAAAATATCCCCCATCAATACCAAACTACCAACCATGTCACATCTTTAGTTGTTTACTTGAAGTTTAGCAGGTGACTGATCATTACACATATATTATAAGGGGCAATTTGCAAAAGGAGGGGGAATATGTTCCTCTAGAAGATATAAGCACATAACAATACCACTTGATTTTACCTTAAAAAAAACACTAGGTTTTGCAAATTCAATTAAGGATCCATTTCAAAGAAATTATTCTTTAATTGGGAGTAAAAATATCTCAAGATTATTGAGGCCCTTGGGGACTGATCACTGATTATTGGTGTTTCTGTTGACTTTCACCAGTGGAGAGATCCCATGAAGTTTGATTTTGTTGATTGTTTTTATGTTTTAATCAAGTATTTTATATACAATATCTTTTAACCAAGTATTTTGTTTTTATGGAGTTCTGACATTTGTTGTAATTCTTCTATCATCTCATGGATAAGAAAGTTAAGAAAAAGTTAGGAATGACACTGGTGTTACATGATTGTCACCAGAATTTAGTCTCGTTGTTCTATGCGGTACTAAGAGTATTTTATATCTGGAAATTTTATTAAATGTGACTGTATGTTAATAATCAGAATATTTCTGACATGTTAAAGATGACCTAATTTCTGCTCATGTTGCCTGTGCAGATATCAAGAGTATGGGAAGTTCCAGTTTCAATTCTTCTCAAGCTCACAATTCCACAGACAGCACCTTCTGAGTGGAGCAGATTCTACCTCTCGGCCAACATAGCATTGTGCCCCTTAGCCCTTCTATACACATGCAGCTCAATCATCCCGTTGGACTACARAATTGTATTTCTCCTTCCACAGACCCACTTTCCTCTATGGTTGATTGTACTCGTTGCAAGCTCCTCTCTTGCAGTATTGCACTATGTAATAGAAAAGGAACCTCCAGAAACTGAGCAGATGCCCGTAGTACTTGTAGCATTCATGATGAGCGTGTTTTGGATATCCACTGTTGCAGGAGAACTTCTGGACTGTCTAGCAGCAGTGGGGGCTATTCTTGAGTTACCTCCTGCGCTTCTTGGGCTGACAGTACTTGCTTGGGGCAACTCAGTGGGAGACCTTGTTGCAGACGTTGCTGTTGCCAAGGCAGGACAGCCTGCAATGGCAATGGCAGGATGCTTCGCTGGGCCTATGTTCAACATGCTAGTTGGGTTGGGTACAGCATTAGTGATGCAAACAGCAGATGTGTATCCACTGGCATATGAGCTCCGGTTTCACATCAGTATTGTGGTTGCCTTTGTGTTCTTGTTGTCCAGTCTGATGGGGTCTCTGTTGGTAGTTACTTGGTTTAGATTCCGGGTGCCAAGATTCTGGGGGTTCTGCTTAATCGGCCTCTACAGTCTCTTTATAATGGTTAGCTTAGTGATTGCCAAGTTTTCGGAGTAAGGGAGAGGGACCAACCTCTGGAGGGGGATTTCTGACCCACAGGTAAATAATTTGCGACATACGTATATTTGTTATTCCTTTGCCATTATTTTAACCAAAATATTTGTTCTGTATTAAATCAAACCTAAATGAATTCATTCATTCAGCTGAGTTTAGTAGGAAGGAAACTAGAAATTTAACACGAGTTAGGAACAACACAACCATGGCAATGTTGTCATGATAACCCAGAAAGTTTCCCAAAAAATTGAAACTGATAATTGATTTACGAGCAGAGGCTTGCCAAGTTACAGGTTTTGGGGCCATCATCATGTGAACATCACAGAATTTTGTCTTGAGCCCATGTTTAGATGAAGACGATGCCAAATAATTGAACTGGGTGGGTCGTGAATCCATGTATGTTGATACATGGAGGGTTGGGCCCGTTGATGGTGATGGACCTTTTTTATGTTTGCCATCCCCTTAAATCAAATCCAGGTACTTCCAAACCCCAACTCGGAGCACAGTTCATGGGATTAGACAGTGACATCTTGTCGGTGGCAGGGTTTTTCTAGACCACAAGCAATTTGAGGGTACATCTTCTAGAGAAGAGTAGGCCCAACGATATGTTAACATCTAATTTTCTTTCTTTCTTTTGGCTGCATCAAGAAAAACAAAAAAACTAAAATCCCATCTAAAATTTGATTCATCATTAATGGATCCTTACCCTATTAGTATTACTAATAATCGCCCTAGATGGTAGCTGGTTTACTGATTTCTACCCTTGGTTGATTGTATTTGGATGAAAAAATGACCAAGTTTGGTAAATTGACAAATTCAGGGGTGTGTTTACTGTTTACAAACTAATTGTAAAAATGGTGAGCTGGAGAAAAAAAATTATTGGAACCAAATTTGCCTTTTATTTAAAACACAACAAAATCTATGGTGCATCTTCTGTATCATGCAGTAAAAGATATGATTGGTTGAACAGGATAGTTAGTATACCTTATTAAGCATGAAAGTACAATTTGTGAAAGGCGACTACATTTTAGTGTGATTGGTTGAGACCTGGATTTAACTTGCAGTCAATATTGAAGTGAATGCACCTTGGTTGAACACTTGAACTATTAAAAGACATTTCATTCTCCTCAAAAAGCTTCCCCTCTCTTTTTAGTGTATTGAGATGGTAGTATTTTACAGTTTCTGATAGTAGAAATTAGAAAGAAGATAGATAGGAGAAGCAAGAGCCAAGAGGTAAAGGGGAAAAAAACAAAAGAAGCAAAAGGAGGAAAGAGGAGGAAAACGTCACTTTTTCTTTTTTCATTCTTATCTTATACAAGGTCAAATTTTCAATTGGCTGTTGCCCTTATCACCTATTTAGGCCATGTTTTGGAGTGCTTATTTTAAAAATAAGTGCTTATTCAAATAAGCACTTATTTGCATTTGGCACCCAGATTTTTCAAGTGTGGGCGTTTGGTGGTCTTTTACTCCAATAAGCAATTGTGACTCTTTTGTCCTTCATTTTCTTTCAAATTTTCAGAATATTCAATCCAAAGTGAATGAATAAAAATACTTTGATAGAAGTACTTTTATAATAGTGCTTTCATAAAAGTACTTTGATAGAAGTACTTTTATAAAAATACTTTTGTAAAAGTACTTCTAAAAAAGTGGTTTCATAAAAAGTACTTTTATAAAAATACTTTCATAAAAGTGTTAATAAACATGGTTTTCAAAATCGGATCGGATTGGATTGGAAAAATCAGGAACCGGTTAGGTGACCGGTTCCATTTTACCCTAGAACCGTTATTTCGCCAAAAACAGTTGATTTGGTTAGCAAACCGTTGACTCGGAGGATTGAACCGTCCAAACCGCTTGAACCATCCAACAATTTTGGCTGTTTTTTATTTTTTTAATTTTTTCAGAACAAGCCACTCGTTTGGTTTGAACAGTTGAACCATTTGACTAGGGGACCAAACCCCTAACCGTTTCGGTTTTAAAAACCTTGGTTATAAGAGAACTTTCATAAAACTCCGGTTTGCTCCAGAACATAGATTTGCCCACATCTTCCTTTTATTTTTTGGTTAAATGGGTAAATCTAGAACTCAAGTTTGCTCTCCACAACAAGTTGCAACGCACATTGGAAACATCTCTCCTAGTTGTATTAGGGCTACAACTTGGGCAGGCCCAACCGGAGCCAGAACTGGCCCAACCCAGAATTTTGCATAGGATGGGTTTGGATTTTCGGTCCTCGGGTTGGGCCCAAAGCCTAGCCCTTAGGTAGCCCGAACCCGGTCTGAGCCATGCCCAATTATATACATTTATACATATATATGTGTATATATGTAAATGTTGCATACATATTTACATATATATA